CGCTATCTGCTAAAGATTCTGACACATCTCCTTGGATGAGGGGGCTTCCATATCACTGAGGGAACTGTCAGCAGTGTGGGCATGGAAAAAAAGTTGGGAACCTTGACATAACCAGACTGAACGTGGCTAAAAATGGAAGATGTCTAAGGGAGCAGTGCATATTTTGTGATAGTCCAGGGTTGCAAGAGGGGGTGCTCCCCTCTTCCCCTGGATATTTGAGAATGACTAGGTTAGATGGTATATTCCTAGCTGGAGCAAAGCCTTTGGTCACAGAAAGCAGATTTGAGCAACCTTAAACTAAAGGAGATTCTTTGATGCCTGAATAACTGGGGTGGCTGCGACTAACGCCATTCCTAATGGCAGCGGGGTATAGGGGAGGGATCCTTCGGTTGCAATAGTATTAGAGCTTATCATCTGGTTGGTGAGCCAAACACACAGACAGCTAATTGTGATGATGGAAAAGGAGATAAATGCTGTGACAAAGGTACAAACAGAATGCTGCCTGCATGTATGGGATAATCCTTCTGAAATGGTATTTGAGATGGTCTGTGGCTAAGATTTAGGAAGGAAATTTCAGGCTGAGAGACCTGTGGGCGAAAAAAAACATGGCAGCCCGAAGTGTTCCAGGGAATAGAAAGTGGTCTTCTGTGACTGACCCATGGGATGAATACAGGGCAGAGCCAGAAAAAAAATTAGGGTTTTCTCCTTAAGGAGGGAAGGTGAGCCAGCAGGACTTGGGGGTTCCTTGGATGTGATGGATGAGTGTAGTGGATTGAATAGTGTCCGCTTAAAAGTCATGTCCACTGGAACCTCAGAATGTGACCTTATTTGGAAGTAGAGTCTTTGCAGATGTAATTAGTTAAAGACCTTGTGATGTGAGATGAAATCACAATAAATTTAGGGTGGGCCTCAATCCAATAACTGATGTCTTATAAGAAAAGAAGAGGAAACAGAGAGACACAGAGAGAAGGTGATGTGAAGACAGAGGCAGAGATTGGAGTTAATGCAGCCACAAACTAAGGGACACCTGAGGCCACCAGAAGCTGAAAGAGGCAAGGAAGGATTCTTCTCTAGAGCCTTCGGAGACAACATGAGATTGCCAACACCTTGATTTCAGACTTACAGCCTCCAGAATTGTGAGAGGATAAATTTCTGCTGTTTTAAGCCGCTAAGTTCGTGATAATTGGTTATGACAGCCCTAGGAAACTCATACAGTGCAGGAGAACATTCGAATTCAGAATGGACCTTTCGAGTTTAGTGTTTCTGTTAGATCCTTGTTGGGGATTGCCAGTGGGCAGCTGGATGTGTGAGAAGAGCAGTTGGAGTTAGAGATGTCGATTTGGGAGGAATCCATAAAAATTGGTCATGGAAAAGTCAGGAGCAGATGAGATCACCAGAGGAGCGGGTTTGAAGCAAGAAAATAGGGTGGAGGGCAGAACCTAAGGGACTACCTCCATTGAAGCGGTGGAGAAGGGAAGAGAAGGCTGAGAAGGAACTACTGTCCAGGAAGGAGGGATTGCTCAGTCATATCAAACAGTGTAGAGAGTTCTAGAGGGTGTGGATGGAGAAGCAATGCTGGTTGGAAAATTCTTTGATGATCAGTCATTTCCATACCATTATTGCACTGGGTAAGAGGTAGGAGGTAAAAAAGTAGACAGCAAGTATTGACTACTCTTTTAATAGAGTTTGATTGTGAAGACAATCAAGGCAAGACAAGGAGAAATGGAATGGATTGTAGATGGAGGAAGAAACATAACCAAGGGAAGTTGATGCTTATTTGTTTTTTAAGAATATGGCACTTTTCATCATATTTTTAGGCTGCGGGAAGGAAGCAGGGAGAAGATGCAAATAATCAATGAAACAAGTTTCCAGAGAAGAGACTTACAAATATTTTTTGCTGTGTACCTACTATGTGCTAGGCTCTGTGCTGTAGTTTACCTGAATGATCTCATTGATCTTTTCAACACTCCTACAGAGTAGAGAAGGATTGTCCCCATTCTAGAAATGTGGAAACTGAGGCTGGGGGTGGTGAAATAATTTGCCCAAGTCAATACCTCTCAGACTGAGCCCAGGTCTGCTGACTCCTGTGTCTCAGTACTTCTCGTTGTATTATTTTCCACTGGAATAAAGAAGGCAGTGTCTTTCTCTGATTCGCAAAGAATAAGAAGCAGCATAAAAAATAAGCAGAAGATTTGCAATGGAGGAGAGAGAAGTGGTAGGTGTTTCTATCACACAGTCTGTGTCCTCATTAAACTATGAATCAGAGTTACCAGCTTCGAGGGAGGAAGGGTGAAGCCGAGCACAGGTCTTGAGAGGGGAAGGGATTTAGGATGACCTCAGAGGTGAGATACAATAGGGGGTCAACCAGGGAGAAGGAAAAGACCTTGCTTTACAGTTAAGGCTCCCCTAGGATTAGTGGGCTGGATTTTTAGGGACGCTAACCTGCATGGGGGAAGCAGTTTTATCTCAAGGTAGACATCTAGCTGGAAAGATTTTAGTGACAACTCTGAAAATGCCCTGAGCCAGAGATACTGCTGATTTTCACCTGACATGCTGCACACACCAGGGCTCTGAGAAGCAGCCATCAGATATCCCAAGGGGATTATCAGTCCCAACCACTGCTGAAGGAGGAAACGCTGACCCGCCTGGAGTCGCTGTCTAATCCGGGTCTTCCCACTGCTTTGCCAAAGCCAGGTGCACTCCCAACCTCTGGCAGGGTTGCCATTCTGATATGAAAATAACCTAAGTCCCTGTCTCAAAAATAATAACATCTGCTAATTTGCATGGGGGTTTTGCATTTCATGTTTGGGTTTAATACCCAAATGCTAAAATTCTTTTGTTTGACCTTAGGTAAGTGGTTTAGAGGTTCAACCGATAAAAACTCCTTGCGGGGTTCCACTCCGATGCACCCAGACCCAGCTCCCCACCCTGGACGGCTCTGTTCTCTCACCACCTGGTCCTGGTGCACACGCTGGATTGACCCTCATATGAATTATGGGTTAAAAAGGACAAATCCGTTGACCTGAAGGCTTGTTATTTTTAAAAGGGTCTCTCAGCAGGTGCATCTCCCCAAGTTCATGTGTCGATCGAGAGCTTTGCCGTGGGGCTCTGAGCCGCTCCGATGCCTCCAGCGTCTCAATTCACAATGACAGCCCCTCCTTGGAGCTCCCTGGGACTAAGTGTGAGGGCCACAGTTGTGGAGTGAGAGGCTTGAGAGGAGAAAGCAAAGAAAGTGTTAATGAATAATCACAGGGATTATTGTGCTCCATAAAGGCAATTACGGGGATTGATTGTTTCCACGTTTCCTTAGTCACGGCTCAGCTTGCTTGTTTCGCTCAGATTAAGACAGATGAATGCCGAATGCGTATAGGTGTGTGATAGCAGAAGTATCAATGGCAAGTCCAAGGCCTCTGCCTTCTTGTACAGATGCTACCAGGGGTCTCAGCTTGGCTGAAAGGGGATCATGGTCGTCGTGGGGATGAAGCACGTGGGGTGAGGGTGCATATTGTGGACTGAGGGATTTTAGGTAATGCATTCTCTCTGCTTCCTCCCTGTGCGTGGTGTAGTGAGGTGGTTTTCCAGCTTGAGCCTGCATCAGCTCTGAAGCAGCTTGTTAAGCTCTTCATCGCCTTCATCCCCACAGTGGGTCTGGGGTTGGGCCCAAGAATTTGCATTTCTAACAAGTTCCAGGATGCTGCTGTTGCTGCTGCTGCCACAGGTTCGGAGACCCCACTTTGAGAACCAATGGGGAAGTGATCAAGAGCATGGACACTGGGACCAGGCCACCAGACCTTTCAATCTCAACTCTGCTACTTAACAGCGGTGTGATCGTGGGCCATTCACTTAACCTCTCTGTGCCTCCATTTCCTCATCTTTAAATCAGGGATGATAATAATAGTACCTGCTTCCTGGGGTGGTTACAAGGAATAAAAATTAGAACTTGGAAGCACTTAAACCAGGGCCTGGTTCAGAGTATGTGCTCTATGCATGTTGGGTAAATAAATAAGAAACCATCCTCTTAAGACTGTGAGCATATCGGTCGGAGTCTCATTTCTGCAACACCTGCAGCTCCCCGTGGAGTTGCTGGGTCATTGTACCCATTAGTCTTCAATCCCATCTCTGGCTGAGAAAGTTAATGCCCAGCTCAGTCCCAGCAGGAGGAAGGTTACATCAACATCCATCAAAATCCTCTTCTCAAGCTACTTGCACCCTTAAAATCTACTGAATACGTAGAATGTGACTCAGTGAGACTGGACACTCAGGTGGTGTGCGTTTGGAGTTTCTCTCCCGTGTGGGCAAGAAGAAGGGCGGCCTCTTATGGTCACACACAGCTGCAGCCCCATACTGATTGCTGCCATTCGTTGAGTGCTTACTCCATGCCCAGCACTGTGTGCCTTACCCACGTGATTTTATTGAACCCTCACAATGTCACTACTAGGTAATAATTATTGTCCCTGTTCTAATACTGCAGGGGTTCAGAGAAGTTAGATGACTTATCCAAAATCACACAGTTATCAAGTGATAAACCCAAAATTAAAAGCCTAGTCTGTCTGACTCAATAATTTATGATCCTAAAGTTCTCCCACCCCCCTAGGTTTATTATGAATATTTATATAAAGGTTAAGGCTGTGTCCCCAGGTATCCAGCAGTGCAGCGGCTCCCCAAAGGTAAGCACCCCAGAACTAGAATTGCCTCTGTCTCAGGAGTTTGCTTTTCTAAGCCGGTGGTAGGATTCACAGAACACACTCCTTTTGAAAATGTCCTCGGCGACTTGCCTTCCATTGCTGGTTATTCTCTTGGGCCTGACCTCTGGAAGAAATTGTGTTCACCTTGTCAAGGCAGCATTTCTGGTCTGAATGTGGATACTGACCTAGTATCTTAACATTTCTGCTCTAGAACAGTGCTCCCACCCGAATGGTCAGGTGAGCAGCCAGGGGCTGTGTTGAAGATGTGAAGAGAGAAAAAATATTATGCTAACGAAACTTTACTTTTTTTCATAGTGTTCCTTTCTGCCGAAATTCTCCATTCATATAGAAACCAAGTATGAGGACAACAAAGGAAGCAACGACAGCGTGAGTAGCGCCCACCCCCCTTCCGTGCTGTGCTCACCTCTTGGGCTCTGAGAGTCACAGTACTTTTCACAGCCCCTGTGTGGCCAGGGCCATGGTAGGATCTGTGCCTGGGACCTCAGAGAAGTTCTGAGGCCTGTTTCCCTGGGGTTTCTCCCTGGAATGATTTTCTTGTCTAGCTTTTCTTTCTTCTCATTTTTATGTACTTTCTATGGGCCTCTGTGCAGAAATCTCTGTAGAGTGATTGTCATCAGGGGTTGTGAGGATGGTGGGGACCTTGGAACCCCAGGATTTGATTTCTGATCATTGGATTGAGCACACATCTTCTCAATGGTTGTTAACGTTTACTTAGAAAAATGAATACACTCAGATGTATGTGTGTATATTGTATATATTTCCTGGACTGTGCTTATGTTCACATATATACGCATGTACACACATATCCCCCTTTAAAATCAGGGTGTACCCCTCCTGCAAAATATTTATCTCATGAGGCATTCTGACTCTTATTAAATTTCAGCCAAGTACTTTGTTTATTAGTATTGCTTAAAATCCATCTTCTGACCTGGCTTTTACCCCAGACTCTTTCCGTCAGCGCAATACGTTTCTACATTCCATTCTCTTTGAGAGTGAATGTTTTGACCTACCGAGAGCCTTGTCTTGAGATTGGGCTGTGGGTCCCATCAAGACCCATTGAGGAAGGAGCCTGGATCTAGAAGCTATAGTGCTTCACCTATTAATTTCTACTTCATTTACGTGTTTTGCATTTGTGGAGAGTGATGAAGATTGAAACTATGTCAAAGTGGGCATAGAGAGTTTCTTGACAAGGTGACCCCTTTGGTGCCTTCACTGAGCCAAGGGGATGCAAAACGGGGTGCAAGCAGTTGTGGAAGTACCTAAGTGCCATGAAGCAAGATCTAAGGACTCGTAAACATTGTCAACTTGAAAACCTTCTTTCATGTGAAAACCTTCTTTCATGTGAAAACAGTCACTGAGAAGAACTAAGAAACCCTCTAGGAGGGACAGCTTTGGCCATGCCTACTCTGTGGTTCTTCGTGTTGACATCTTCTAGAAACATCTTCTAGAAACTTCCTTCCTGCCTATAGCAGGAACAAATTCTCCTAGAAGTTACGGGTGTATTTGTGCAGGACACAGGTTGTCCTATTCAAGGTTGAGTCTGCCTTGACGGAGCTTGAGTGGTTCCCAAAAGGTGTCACTCAGGAGGACACTCATTCATTCACTCATTCAGTATTTTTTTTTTTTTTTGGTGAGGAAGATTAGCCCTGAGCTAACATCTGTTTCGAATCCTCCTCTTTTTGCTGAGGAAGATTAGCCCTGGGCTAACATTCGTGCCCATCTTCCTCTACTTTATATGTGGGACGCCTGCCACAGCATGGCTTGATAAGCGGTGCATAGGTCCGTGCCCAGGATCCAAACCTGCGAACCCTGGGCCGCCAAAGTGGAGCACATGAACTTAACCACTACACCACCGGGCTGGCCCCTCATTCAGTATTCAGCGAGGGCATATCAAGCACCTTCTATTTATATATCATTGTATGAATTGCATGGATGGTATTAAAAATGCAGACTCATTTCTCAAACTTCAGGTACTCATAGTTTAGCTGGGGGGAAAACCAACGTATTAAATGACTAAAAACATAAGCACAGTAGTGGTCTCCCCTTCCTTGCATGTGAAGAGTCACCACGGGTCACCCTTCAGAATGCAAAGAGCTTGAGGAGCGGCATTCAATAATGACCCATCTATTTACAGGGACTGAGTTGGCTGGTATCTGGTCACTTCAGCCTCTTGAATTAAGTTAGAAAACCCGGAGTTTATCAGGAGTCAACAAACTACTTTTTTTGTAAATAAAGTTTTGTTGGAACACAGCCACACTCACTCATTTATGTATTGTATAGGCTGCTTTTGTGCTACAACAGCAGAGTTGGGTAGTTGCAACAGAGCTCATAGGACCCGCAAAGCCTAAATTTACTTCCTGGACCTTTCCAGAAAAAAGTTTGCTGACTCCTGGTTAGAGAGACTCAAATCAGAACAGCACCCACCAGATCTCAAAATTTGACCACTTCATAGATCTCCCCACCAGCTATCCCAGCCAAATGCCTTCCCCAGAGTTCCTGGAACTTTCCAGAGAGAAGAATGCAGCTGGCAGGGGTACTCTTTCCCCAATAAGTTCAGGATCCCCAATGGTTAGCATCCATTGGTGGTTGGTGACCTCAAGGGAAAAGTTTAGGACCATCTCCTTGTTACCACCCTGAAATCAGAGGTGCTTTGCTGGCCCACTTCATCAAAGCCTCGTTGTCTAAAATAGTGTTACACAGTGTTTAACTTGAACCTTGTAAAATAATGACTTGTTTCTGATTGGAAAATTAACACATGGTTATTAAAACTTGGAAAATGCAGAAAAAAAGAAAGAAAGACCGCTAGTAATCCCATAATTCAGAGATGATTGCTGTTAGCATTTTGATTCATCATGCAGATTATTAATGAATTTATTTTTTAACCAGTTCCCCTAAAATTGAATCATACAATATGCTGTTTTTAACATGTCATTAAGTGTCCTTTACAGTATGATTTTTAATGGCTGGGCTGCATTCCATTCTTTTTATTTATTTATTTTTTTGTGAGGAAGATCAGCCCGAGCTAACATCTGCCAATCTTCCTCTTTTTGCTGAGGAAGACTGGCCCTGGGCTAACATCCATGCCCATCTTCCTCCACTTTCTATGGGACGCCGCCACAGCATGGCTTGCCAAGTGGTGCATCGGTGCGCGCCCGGGATCCGAACCGGCGAACCCTGGGCCACCCCAGCGGAGCATGCGCGCTTAACCGCTTGCACCACCGGGCCGGCCCCTGTGTGCCATTCTTAAATGTGCTCTTTATTTATTTTATCATTTTATTTATTTATTTTTTCCCCCAAAGCCCCAGTAGATAGTTGTACGTCATAGCTGCACATCCTTCTAGTTGCTGTATGTGGGATGTGGACTCAGCGTGGCCGGAGAAGCGGTGCGTCGGTGCGCGCCGGGGATCCGAACCCAGGCCGCCAGCAGCGGAGCCCACGCGCTTAACCACTAAGCCACGGGGCCGGCCCTTAAATGTGCTCTTTAAACAATTTCTGGTCACTGGATATTGAAGTGAGCTTGACCATTTTGATGTAGCTGTGGCCCATCAGGCACAGTGATACAGATCAAATGTGCCTGAACTGCTTTCCTGGGGACAATCCAAAAATATGGAGGGGGGAGATTTTTTAAACATCTTTTAGTCTTTCCAAACAAATTCCCTATGCTTTCTCTTTTTGTCTATGGTTCTGTCCTTCCTCAAGAATAGTTAAAAACTGCTCCATTTGTAGAGGTGTGAAGACATGATCCTTATAGGTTGACAGGACCAGGATAACCTTCTGGTTTATCCTCTGCTCAGTTCAAATAGTCAAAAAAATTCACATAGTTATCGTTTAGTATCTTGTATCCCTTTTGGCAGGTGCTAAGTTCTTTTTACTACTCTCGTAGGAATTTAAAATACCAGGTTATCGGGGCCCGCCCAGTGGCATAAGTGGTTGAGTTCACGTGCTCTGCTCTGGCGGCCAGGGGTTCGTAGGTTCGGATCCCAGGCATGGACCAAAGCACCGCTTGTCAAGCCATGCTGTGGCGGCATCCCATATAAAGCAGAGGAAGATGGGCATGGATGTTAGCCCAGGGCCAATCTTCCTCAGCAAAAAGAGGAGGATTGGCCACAGATGTTAGCTCAGGGCTAATCTTCCTCAAAAAAATAAAATAAAATAAAATACCAGGTTATCCATCCTAGAGTCAGGATGCATGCTTGGAGTCAGCATCCCCTGCCCATGCCAAGGGCCAGGCCTCTCTGAGACTTAGGCTGGCCTGTGAGAGAAGCAATGAAGCCCTGGGCACTTGTGTGCAGTCCTTGTCGACACAATTTGCTCCCTCTGAGAGAAGTGCCAGCTATCGTACTCTGCGTTACCTCCTTCTCCCCGACTTGCTGACTCTGAGATTGCCTGTGGGATCGGCTCCTTATCTCTCTGTCATGGCACCTAGCCTGCCCGAGTCCAAGCCCCGCCATCTTGTTACACTGAAGAGGCCCTAAATGTGTTTTTGCCCAAGTTCCCATCGCAGCCTGTGCCTGGCTCTGCTCCATGGATCCCCAGGTCTTGCTTCTGAGGCCACTGGACCAGACAGGCCAGCCCCAGCTTGATTCGACTTCTTTGCCAATTCGCCTTCCTCTCATTTACATATTCAGCAGCAGCTGTTGGTCACCCAGCTGGTTCAAGGTTGGTCACTGGGAGGCAGAAAAGGAAGACTTCATTGGTTTTCATTCACACTTGTTAATGCTTGAAAATCAGAACACGAGAAATATATATTTATGTAATAATACTTTAATTATTAAGAGATAGCTTTGTCCAGGGGTTCAGAACTAGAGTCTTAAGCAGATGGCGTGTGTTGGCATGCTCTTTTTCTGTCCAGGAAAGAATATGGAGTTTTCGGTGGGAGGCCGAGTTGCTAAAGAAAGCAGTGCAATAGTGGATATTTCTCTTGTCTCAGTGCTTTGCCAAATGATTTAATAAATTCAGTTCATTTCTTTGCATTTTCTGGGTGTCCACTCTTATCATTCAGCTACCATCTTTCATACTGCTATCTGCACCCTGTTTCCTTCCCTACCTGCCAAAAATTTAATGAAATTGATGATGATAAGAAACAATAATTAAATTGAAAGACCCTAGTGATAATTATATTGATTAGTGATTGAATAGAGTACATGTTCTTATCCCTTATCAATTACCATGTAAGTAATTTTTTACATGACCCAATATCTAGTAAAAAAAAAAATAGTGGTGGGATGACTAGATATAAATATCTTCTCCTTGTTAAAATAAAACTAGTGTATTTATGATTGTAAAAACCTGTAAATTGTGATTACGTTAACCAGGACACAATGGGGAAGTTGTCTTAAATTGAGGCCCATTTATTTTATGCATAT